GCAAACAATCGAGCAGGGTGGTCTCGATAGCGGTACCCTGCTCAGTAGAGAAGAGACCTGCGTGCTACGAATACTAGGTCAGAGGTTGGCTGTCTTCGCGAGGAAACTTGGATTGAAGAGGAACTTGAATAATTTGACATGAAGTACACAATACGCAAGATCTCACTTCCCGTAAGATTATAGATTTTCTAGCTATGGTATTAGTTGCCCTTGCAGTTCGTGCTCTTTCCATCGTCAGCTACTCGACAGCAACCTTGGCAGGGACACTCCGCGTATTCATCAACTTGAGATTCTGGTCCACACCAAATAGCGTAATCGTTGAAACTATTGAAACCATTCAGGTCCTTTTTGCACTGCATTGTATCTGTGGATAACCGTAAGCACGCAGTCTGCGCATAGTAGGCCGCAAAGTACTCACTAGCGGGGGCGCAGTGTTTGTGCAGGGGCGATGGATCTGATTCAGATGCGATGGTCATCACTGCTGCAGACAGGACAATAGTGGCAAGTGAAGTCAATTTCATAGTGGAATGTTGATGGTGTTTTCTGGGCTGCGCAGGTTGGCTTTAATACATGATCAGTGTTTGGTACAACCAAACTCTCTCATGTGCTCGAATCATTTTGCCAGACCTGTCGGTCATTGATGGTGTTTTCTGGACCGCATCATAGGTAGGATCAGGTTATAGACAAACACTTTCGTGTGCTTGAATCGTTTTGCCAGACCGGTTGGAGTTCTTCCAACGCTCCGGCGGACTCGGATGCTTGCGAATGAAACGTCACCGATATAAAAACCAAATTACGATTGAAAAACTATTCACCAATTGCAAGTCAGCGCACCCTTACTGGTCAATTATTTTTCACCGCCCTACTCAGGAACAAGTTGATGAACTGACTAGGTTGGGCACAGAGTCGCAGCGATGGGTAAATGTTAATACGGCAGGTTGGCTTTAATACATGATCAGTGTTAGGTACAGCCTAACTCTTTCATGTGCTTGAATTATTTTGCCAGACAGGTTGGTCATTGATGGTGTTTTCTGGACCGCGTCATAGGTTGGCTTTGATACACTGGCATGATCAGGTTATAGACAAACACTTCCGTGTGCTTGAATCGTTTTACCAGACGGTTGGAGTTTTTCCAACGCTCCGGCGGACTCGGATGCTCGCGAATGAAACAGACGCCATCTCACCAATATAAAAACCAAATTACGATTGAAGAACTATTCACCAATTGCAAGTCAGCGCACCCTTACCGGTCAATTATTTTTCACCACCCTATCCAGAAAAAAGTTGATGAACTGAATAGGTTGGGCAGAGAGCCGCAGCGATGGGTAGATGTTTATACGGCAGCAAAGTTTGATGCTTGCTTGCCATTGGTATTCCTTTTTACGACCTTATGGTTCATGAGCCATGAGGCGTAGCGTGATCTCAGTTCCAGATCGTCGAATCGACCCGACGAACGACAGCATGCCTTGTCGAGTGAACAAGTGATAGACCATCAGAGGACGAAGCAAACAATCGAAGAGGGCGGTCAAAATTTTACGCTGGGGCCATAGACTATGCACGAGACTCACTCCACAAGATGGGAAAAAATTCTCAAAGGTGAAAATAGCACCAGTGTCTCAAGTGCTCCGGACACTGTAAAGTTAATGCAGAGTACACCAAGTTTTCCCGCTACCGTTATAGTGAACAGAAGTATTGGCTGTCTTCGTGATCTGAGAACGTGTGATTATCTGCGAGGAACTTGAATAATTCGACATGGGATAATACCGTACGCAAGATCTCACTTCCTGTGAGTAACTTGGCCTTGGTGTCCCTTGCAGTCCGTGCCCGTTCCATCATTGACTACTCGACAGCAATCTTTGCAGTCACAAAACGCGTATGCTACAATTGTATAATTTCGTCCACACCAAATACCATAATCGTTTCCGTTATTATAAATATTCAATTTCAGGCCCGTTATGCACTGAATTACATCTGCCGATAACCGTAAATACGCGGTCTGCGCGTAGTAGGCCGCAAAGTACTCACTCTTGGGGAAGCAAGGTTGGTTTATGGGCGTCGCATCTGAATCAGATGCGACAGTCATCACTGCTGCAGATACGGCAATAGTGGCAAGTGAAGTCAATCTCATAGTCGAATGTTGATATGGTGTTTTCTGGGCCGCGTAAGTTGGCTTTAATACATGATCACTGTCAGGGCTGCCGTTAGGTACAGCCAAACTCTTTCATGTGCTTGAATCATTTTGCCAGACCGGTTGGTTAAATGGAACATTGATCTGAGCCTTGGCTTTGATACATGATCAGGTTAACGTTACAGACAAGCCGCTGGCTTGAATCGCTTTGCCAGACCGGTTGGAGTTTTTCCAACTTAATGCGGCGGACTTGACGAATGAAACGGATGCCAGCTCACTAATATAAAAGTGGAGGTAAAGAAAACTATTCACCCTTACCGGTCAGTGATGAGTAGATGAAGTTACCATCGTACTAGTCTGAGGTTTAGTACCCATGCCACGCAGCCTGAATAGTCAAGCGCCTATATGTTGCGCAGCCATCTGCGTAGCCCGCAGTCGCTATCATTATATAACTTTGGTTCTCTTCAACGCCTAGAGTAGCGCCAAAATGGTCTTGCTCGATAAATACTTCGATGAAACCGACTGCAATGAAGTCGACTTACCACCTTCTTACGACACCATCGCCTCTGTTTCTACCAACATAGATGAGAAACCTCGTCCTTCGCCGGCACCAACTGCCCGTCCTACAGCTCCTCCATCTTCCTCAACGTGGCTCTCCCTCCTTCCTGATACTCGTACCAAACAAACACGCCAAACTGTCATCTCCCTCATTCGCGACCTCGTTGCCACCACCACCACTGATAACTCTGCTGCTACCACCAATCCTAGCTTCATGTGCTTCTGCCCTATCTCCCCCATCCTTCTCTACCCTCCTCCAACAACCCACCTTGGAAGGACACACTCCCATCTACTGGGGCCATTCTCAATCGCCACACCGACATACTCCCTGACATGCTCCAATACGCAGGTCCACTCAACAATGCCTGTGTACAGACATTCGCCTTGCTTGTCTTGCGAGCGGCAATCAGCTTTTGTTTGGGAAGCTTCGTAGAGGAGAGCTTCCGTTTCAAACTACTCTCAGAGCAGGTGACCACGCTGTTTTACCTTCTGTGTTGTTGAACTGACGCATGAGACCCAGATGCCCTCGTTCTAGGTTCCACATCCGCAGATGACATCAATGTCCACGAGGTTGACGGTGAAGCTGCCTTCAGCGCATCTATCAAAATCCGTCTCTGGCAGAAACGAATGCGCGTCGCTGGTTTGGTAGGTGTGGAGTTTATTGCGCGAGGTCAGCATTCTCTCATTTGCATTCTCGTCGAACTCACACTTTTTGTAGGACGCATATGGTCCTCACTTTCTTCTCCGCTCCCTCCCCTTCTCCCTTATCCAGTTCTCATCCAAATCATGGTGCAGGGAGCGGACCATGGCAAGTCGCACCTCAGTCTTATGGAGCACAGCCCGCCTACATTCGTAGATGGAAGACTCGTCATTGACGTTTCTCGTCCTCTTTCATCCTCAATACCAGACTCACTCTCCTCCGAATCATTTTCGCCCACCAATTCAAGGCATCCATCTCTTCTCTCAACACCAGTAACCTACCTCCCCTACCCACGCAAGACCGCCCGTCGTCATACCACTTCGATCTACCAATCGACTTGCCCATCGTACGTCAGATGGGGGTGTATTTAGTGTGTTGGAGCTCAGGTGGGGTGGTGTTGGTCCTAGGTTGGTTTCATTCTTGTGAGGTGTTGCACGGCCTGACAACAGTCTTTCTCCCCTGCACCATCATTTATCTACCTGACATCTACACCCAACTCACAAAAACTTCATAGACCTCCAAAACCAGCTGCGTGGTCCGATGAAGGAAAGCAGTATACAAATGCGTTGATTGGAGTGTTGAGCGACGATCTTGGGTGGGAGTGAGTGTTTTTTTTTCGGTTTTGGTTCAATAGGCTTCTCTGTTTTGTCTTCAATGTTGCCTTACCGTAATTCCTCGCCCGTCGTCCATTTAGTTCATCCTGCCTCTCATCCTCCTCATGCCTTTTCTACTTCGTTCCTTTTATCTATGTCGCCGCTCCTTCTCTCATGTAGCATTCCACCAACAAACGCTGACAACCCCCTCCCTACAGCAACACCCCCCTCACACCCGACGGCACCCTGCACGCACGACTGGATGCAAGACTTGAGAAAGCGGAGGGTGGGAGCTGCATCATTTGTTAGCAGTTGGATCTGGGATGCGTCGGTACTAATGACAGAGTCGCTGTGAGCGGACTCCCTCCCCTGGCATGCAAGATGCCATACGGGTCTTATCCAAATCATGTAGAGTCCTGAAATGCACCGACACGTTGCTGGTTAGCACTCGTTGGCTGCTGTACGCATTCCGGATTACCCGCGTCCCGAGTGCGTTTGAAGTAGATGTTTATCGGACGCACAGGAGCGAGGATGCGATGCTTATGGTAAGTGCATGTCGTTTCTCTGTTGCACTTATATATCTGTAATGAGATGTGCTAAATTTCTTCAAGCTGCCGTTGTTAATGTGCATCGTATCCTTGCGAGTTTGTTGTCTCAGAATGAGTAATATATTCAGTCAGACAGGTAGTTGATTTGAATTGGTACTCTACAAGGCATATCTACGGTACAGTGCCACCGAATGTCTATAACCACTTCCTCCATCGATATCATACGAGCGGGATGTGAGTCGAACTGAAACGTAGGCCTCGTACATATCATGGGCCGTTGCCCTCAAGCTGTTCCTGCCTTGGACGTGGCTCCACTCCCACTTTTCCTCGTGCAATTGAAACTAGTGCGCGCACTTGGTGCAATCACACGAGGAGAAGTGAGGGTTTTTGGTTCGAGCTGGTATAGTTGTTCGGTGAAGAGTATGAGTTGGCGTTTAGAGAATGTTCACACGAGACACGGGCCGAGGGAAGGTCAGGATGTCCAAGTCCAAATCACATCCGAATGGACAGTTCCCGTCACTATAGAGATGGTTTACTGTAACCGCCATCTTAGAAACTCTCACCAGACCACTGGCACAATACCACACCAAGAAAGTCCATCGCCCTGGATCAAACTCAATCATTACACTTCTTCCCCCATTTTCTTTTGATCCACGAGCTTGACAACTCCGAGGTGTTTCTTGCAATTGACCACTATAATCCCTGCGCTTCGTCAGAAACGGCCAAGATCCAAGAACGCTCAGCAGTACTGGCCAATATCGAATCATGAAAAACTGTTCGCTCATTTGCCTCAGTTCCTGCGATCACTGGCTCGTTGGTTATTACCAATTTGGTGCACCTTAAGGCCTTAAGGAGATGGATATTGTTATTAGTGACGCATGTTTTCTCACTATAAAACTTTCTCCCAGTATAGTCCCAGTTGCACTAATCAGAACAGGTATAAAATCAACGCAGTTGAGTTGAAAAGTTCACAGACGAACGGCTCCTCTCGCGGTGAGCAGTCCTCTTGTCGTACACTCTATGTGCGTTTCATTGAACGGACATATAATAGCTCTTCTGATACTTTGTAATAGCAAATTTGCGCACATCATAATCAAACTTTCCATCGGTATGTGGTTTTCCTAGCACGGTCATATCATAGGCTGATGCATAGTTATACCAGATACCATGAAACTCAATAAAATCCTCGTGATCCTTGCTGTTTCCAGCGCTGCTGCCGCCGCCGTTGCTACTGGGGTGGATACAGCAGCACCTGCTGACAGAACTTGCGACAGACCATGCTACTCGTCTCCAGAATCTTTTCCATGCACTACACCGTGGACGCCTCAGCTGGTGTCCACTAATTGTTGGGAGTGCTGTCTCTCATATAGTTGAACATCTTGGTCATTT